AACGCCCACCTTTTGGCCGAGAAGCCTTCTTTATGGAAATAGGTAGAGTGAGGAAGAGGATAACAGAGAGAAAAAAAATTGAAATAAACGCAGGAATGTTAAATAAATTTCGTAGAGTGTGATACCGTACATGTCAGGACAAGGAGGGGGAATAAGAGAAAGCCACAGAACATACGTCTGTAGATGACTACTTGTGAATTAAGTTAGCAGCTTCGTGCAACACAATCCAATGGATAGGAGTTAACCGCTTCAAGCAAGAACTTCGCTCTACCTTGCGGATTTGAGCGGCAATGGTTCCTCACATTTTAATATTCCACAACTATATAAATAAAAAAATTATATATATATATTATATATATATATATATATATATATATATATATATATATATATATATATATATATATATATATATATATATATATATATATATATATATATATATATAATAGCAATAGAAATGAACAGCTTTGTCGTCAGCGCTTCCTGAGACACGATCTGTCTTATGCTATGTATGTGTGCGAGTTTGGTAATTCAGATAACCTTGACAGAGTAGATAAGATGTTCTTGTACATAAATAGCAAATAAGCTAGGAGATGGCGCAACAAACAAACGGAGCGCATACGTTATCTTGACAGCCGAGAACGAGATACAAGACGGAGATGCGGAGATATCGCAAAATTATCGCGAAAGTTGCACATGTTCGACAGTGGTCGAACTAGGGACGCCTGTGGCCAGAGACAAATTTTTTTTTTCGATAAAGAAAGGCAAGTAGTCCCCTTGTCTAAACGTTGATTCATACAGCCCTTGTATTACCACTGTTGAGAGCGGGAAGCGAGCATTAAAATATTCGGCGATGTTGTCACGATTTATCGATGTTTTTGTAGACGCGAACATGAAATGGTATAATGAAAATCGGGATGCAAATGAGGCGCAGTCTTATAATCTTATACGTTGGCGGCCAGGTTGTCATTGTCATCATACGTTTCTTTAATTAATGTTTTAGCCACATTAGAAAGCTGCGTAAAGTTCGGCAATGTTTAAGTCACAAATTATGTATGCCTTTCGTTTCGTTAACTTATTTATTTATTCGGGATTTTTTTTTTTGTTGTTTGCTGCCAGAAGAAATCCATGCGGTCTATTTAGAGGTCGACATTTATCAGGCGTATAGTACATACGCTGTCAGTAAGGAAGGAACATCCGACGAACAAGGAAAAATATGGGACCTTACATGCAATGACAAACTCAACACGCATCCATTAGCTTCGCTCGCTCGAATTTCGCTTTGCCATTCGGGACAGCTTAACGACTTTCGGCGCGAGATTAGAACCGATTTATTTGCACGAACGCAAAGGCCATCCTTCTTTTATCCCGCTTGACTAAACATCACAAAAACTGGGAGCCTTGTCTGAGCTTCCTTATTTCAAAGTAAACCGGTGAGTCCGACCAATGCGCGGAATACCCCGAATTCAAATTTGATCGCACGTATGCATACCAAATGCGTGTTTTTGATGCGTGGTAATCACGTGGCACGTACGACCGCTCTGCAAAACGAAGTTCCGAACTCTCTCCATCTTGTATATTGAGCGCTTTCTGTACGACTGCTTCTCATATGGCTACGAAATTCTCAATCTTTTTTTTTTTTTTTGCTTTAGTCTTACATTTAAAACCGACCTCGTCCGTCTAGCAAAGCGGCTCAACAGGCGTGTAATGGATTACGGCTGACCCCCCCGTCTACGACTGCTATCAGCTTCCGTTCCCTTCCTCCCTCCCGCCTTCATCGCCTTCCTGTTCTCGACATCGAGATCAACCTTTCTCCAGCAAAATCACGCGCGCATTCACAACGACAGTCGACGACAGCGTCGGTGCTCTCACAGACACAACAAAACAGAGCCGCTCCATTCTTTTTTTATCCGCTCCGAAATAAGTCTTATCTGTTTCGCGATGGACGGCCTGTTTCTGCGCGCAAACATATACCCTATACCACCGTCTGGACAGCGAAAAAGAAAACGAAATGCAGTTAACGCCACTGGCGCCGCAGCGGCGGTGAAAGCCGCAAAAAAAAAAAAAAGAGGGGGACCGATTCGTTTTCAAGAAAACGTCTTCGCAAGGCCATATCTGACTTTGCATATTCAAGCACGACTTTCCGATTTTTAACCTTCCACCTCCCCTTTCCTTCGTCCTCCCTACGTGAACCAGTTCGCGTAGTTTGTCGGTAAAATAAAAAAAAGATAACCACGGGAGACAGGTCGCGAACACGAAGAGTGGAGGGGGGGGGGGGGAGATGAATGCCTGTCGCTGTGTGTGTACCAACCACACGAAAGTGCTCTTTCGGGAAAGTAAACAAGACGGCAAAACAGCGCGGAAAATAGCAAAATAGAGTAGGCGAAGAACAGAAGAATGATACCATGAGCATGTGTGGTCGGAGATCGTTGCCTCTGCCGATGCATAGAACGAGCGAAAAGATAGATTAGTGGACTGGCCTTCCAAATGCAAGTATTTGATTACCCCAATGTTTTTTTTTTTATAGCAGTGAGTGTAAGTGACCGTATAGCCGCATCATTCGCCGACAACACATGTAAGTTTTGATTAACAGGTTGTTCGCCCGCCGCAGAAATCTGCCTCGGCATCCGGCCAGCTGACAAAGGAAGGATACGACGACGGTGGCTGGGGTTTGTGATAAATCGAAACATAAGAATAAATGTAGATGGAAACAAAGTAACACTTCCCTCTAGCAAACTGCAGGCAATTGCACGCGCTCAAATATTAAGGGTTCATACATGAAAAAAATGGCGAGCTTGCGGCCGGCACTCAAAGTTGTATTTCTAGGTTTATAAGTGATATTTCAGTGCACTTCAAGCAACCTCTTAAGTTTTTAGATCGAAGATTAGTTCGGGAATAAGACACTGCGCTGCACGCTTGTTCTACCCCTGATAGTGACGTGCGTTCGTTCATAATGCAGTATTTACCGAGCTTTAGCCACTAAAAAAAAAGCAGTTATTTGTAATTATCAAAGCTGGAAAAGGCGCACGTTCTAAAGAGATTGAATCCGACTAAATTAATAACACGAGTTTTATACGAACAATGACGTAGCTTGCCGGGAGCGCTATTTCATGCATTTCGGAAGAGCGAGCAAAAATAAAATAGGAGAGGAAAGACGACCAGACAAGCAACCAGGTGCCAATGTTTTGGTGTTTCATGGCAATGTGCTGTTTGTACCACATTAACATGTTCCGTGTTTTTGTGATTTTAAGTGTGTAACTTCGACACTGCTCGTATAGCCAGTTTACGGATGAGCAGCTGGTTCATGTGTTGGTGCGTGGCCTTTCTTCAATAACATTTAGTTGCAAGTAAAACAAGCACTTGTCCTGTATGTTCTTTATTGCTGTCTTTTTTTTTTCGTGGGATATATACCTCTTCTGAATTCCTGTACTATTTCTTAGAGTGAACCTAAAACATCGTACACGCTGAATGCCACATCCTCATTCCAAGGTTGACCAGTCGTTTCCCAGTATATCAGAGACTTCGGCGTATCTAATTTCTACACCTGGTACCGCTTTTTTCCCCTCACTCAAAAGCAATATACGTTACACACCACCGTTGGGAAAATGAGCCTGGTTTTGATTAACGTCCTTCATCCTGTACGCGACCGCGCACTGCTCCACGTCGTATCGAGCTCCCTGCGTGAATAATATGGCTTATCGGACGCATGCGTTGCAAGAGAAAGAGGGAGAGAGAGAGAGAAAGCACGGAATACAAATATGCGCTTGGAAACTGCGGTAGATTAATGACAACCAAGGTCGACTTCAGGTCTTGTATCCTGTTTCCTTGGTTCACTTTTCTTCCCTGTTTTTACCGTCTAGTATATGTACGAGGCCATACGCATGTATACAAGCTATGACGCTCTGCATGCCTGGTATACGCGTCGGTTCACCGAGCGCTTCAGTGACCGCTCAATTTGTGACGGGAATCTATGTCGACGTCGCTCCTGCAGTACAGGGAACGTGCAGCCGCGTGCGATGCGAAGAGCAATTTTTCTTCGGACCGTTTAAGCCTTATGTTGCGAAGCCTGTCCCATACTCTGACATATATCCGAGGGAAAGGTTACATCACCGAACCACTCGGAAACATGATCCCGCTATTTTGACCTTGTAATGAGTTCGATTAGCGCGAACCCAAGCTGCGTGCGGAAATGGGTTGATCGTGCAAAGAACGCCGTACATGCGAGGACAGGACCTGGACGGTGCTGTTGCAGCGACGAGTTTATGGAGTTGCGAGCCGGCTCGAAAGCCGAGTATAGGAATCTCGAGGTTGCGAAAGTACCTCGCACGCTTGCGTCTGAACAAGGCAGATCACGCCGTCAAACTTCATCATCCATCTTCGGTTTCGACCAAGACATCTCATTACAGAAATGTATTATGTAAGAGTGGAATGAAGTTTCTACATCACATGGTTCTCGTAACTGCTATCGTTAACGATTCATTACAGCGGCGAAAACTTGCACGAATGCAATTGAACGAAACAAAGATACACATGACATCAATGCAACACGTATTATTATGTTTCCTTATTGGCCAGTTGTAGCCCGACATCCATGCTAATATGTGGTTTCATAACAGCTTATAAGATTGCGGTGCGTGGAAAAACGCACACACTCAAGAATAAACACAAATTACAAACTTTGTGCCACATTGAACGTAACATTACGTTCACTTTTTTTTTCTTTTTCATCTCATGACGCGTATACTAAGCAGCATATAGCTTTACTTTTTATACTTTCCAAGCACTCAAAGCTGCGTTTTCGATATATAGATACTGCAAACGAATATCGCCACAAGAGCAGTCCTGAAATTTTGTGTTCTATACTGATCACTTTTTTGCATTGTGTGGAGTTCCTGCTGAGGGGCGATTGAATATCGGGTGTTAGCTTTTGCAAGAGTACAGATAAAGCTTCTGAGGTAGGGTATCAGTTTTCGATCTGCGATCACCACTATACTCACCGGCCGCATGGCTCATGGTGGGTACAGCTGCGAGCGGGCTGCTTCCACCGCCGCTGGAAGACGATGACGAGACGGGAGCGTTGGCCAGGACGCCGCCAGCGGCGAGGGTGTTGTTCAGCGCCTCGGGCGCCATCTTGCCACCCAGGGTGGCCAGCGTCAGTAAAGTGGTCGCCATGTCCTGAGGAAGCATCCCCTGCGGAATGACGTAGGTAGTGAAAAGATGTTCGGAGAGCAGGGGGAGTTCATCTTCATTTTTTTTATTTCGATCACTGGCTTTACTCAAGAGAAAATACAAAACACGGACTTTTCGCCACCTATACGGGAAGCATCATAAGCAAACGTCTATGTTGTTGTTGTTGAGCAAAGCCAGTGGTAAACAAATTGAAGAAAAAAGTCGATAGTCTGAGAAGGCTGATGTACTTCCATAACTTCCATAGCAACCCAACTAAAGCTTAAAGATGTCGGCGATATCATGGTTCATGTCGTTAGGGACGATCAAGCGTCGTTTCTACCTGCCAGGGGGCGAACACTTTTTACCCCAGAGATTTTCGTAACGGTCGGTGACACCCAGTAGTTAAAAGCAACTGTCCCAGCTCAAGTAGCGACCGAATATCGTGCGAATGCTACACACCCGCTTGGTTTGTTCTCAAGTGTACACAAGTCGACTCTCTGAATGTCTCATAAAAGCGACAAACGTAGCGTATCATAGTACTGGTAAATGAGAATTTCTACGTTTGCGTCGACAATTTTGTGCTTTGATCTCCTTCGAAGCACTAACACTGGCGCGTTTTGCGTTAGACTTTGTGGTATTGCTTTTGCATACACTGCCTGAAAATGTTCGAATGTGTAACAAGGGTGAAAAAGTTGAGGGAGAGCCAGAAAAAAAGAGGGAAACGATAAGGGAAGGAGCACTGATTATTCACAAGTTACTAACTTGAACATGAACAAACGTTGTGCATCAGTGAATGCGAGCATCTTTTGATTTTCTTTCTATATACACAATTCCACTCAAAAGCACTCTCTAAAGAAAGACGAATAACAACGAAAAAAAAATTAGCCACGAAGGGCGAACAGCTGAAATCTGGCCACCTGTGTTTGTGAATGCGCTCTCTCAGTCTTTTGATTTCTCGCGGAGACCAGACGGCCGAGTAAACTCGGGAGAACGCAAGAAGGGCGCAGAAATATTGTTTTGACTGCGGTTCGCCGTAGAGGGAGGAGCAGGCGAGCGTGCAAACGTACACCTGCGTATTTATACGCGCTCACACGCGATGTCCTGTGCACGCGTTGCTTGCAAACACGCAAAAGGCAACTGCCGAGTCTTCGTCTTAAAGCGCTGTCGTGCAGGTTACACGCAACACGTCTAAAGCTTCCACCGTGGGCGTCGTTCTTATTGCTTGTGCGAAAAGCAGGCTTACATCTTCACCTTTGCCCAGTGAAGGCGGACCAAACAAGCAATTGCGAAACTACTAAGCGCTTCACAGAGACTGACAGAGACTTCTAAAGTTCCAAAAGAAGGTTTTAGCGCGAAGAAAGAAAGAAAGAAAGAAAGAAAGAAAGAAAGAAAGAAAGAAAGAAAGAAAGAAAGAAAGAAAGAAAGAAAAAGAAAAGAAAGAGACTTCGATACAAGATACATGAAGCATGCATGTATGTATTATGCAACCGAGCCGCTGCATGAGCCCCATTCTGTTCCATACGTTTGGGACACTCCACGTCGAAGCTATCAGAATGCACTTTTTTTATGAGGGTGCGTAATGGACGCTTCTCGCATAATGTGTCTGTGCTTCCGCTAAATGCCGCATTTTAATGTTTCCCACCTCACCTCATGAGAAAAAAAAAACATTTCGCTTCAGTCTCCAAGTGTTACAATTTAGCTCCCGTAACGGCCACAAATGTTCCGACAATCGACCATTCCACGAGTAAAAACCGGGGCTTCCTGCACCGATTTAGACCAGTTACCACTCGAAGTGGTGGGTCCACATCGCCGAGAGCCGCGACCGAACACCAACACGTCGTGTCGTCCACGTGGAGGTGGACACGCGAAGTCTGCCTTTTCTGGCAGTGCGCACGCTTTCCTACGCAAACTCCGGAACTGGCGCCAGGTTCGAACAAAAAAAAAAATGGCTACATAAACGTGCGACGCCCCGTCGGGTGTGTGTGTGTGTGTGTGTGTGTGTGTGTGTGTGTGTGTGTGTGTGTGTGTGTGTGTGTGTGTGTGTGTGTGTGTGTGTGTGTGTGTGTGTGTGTGTACGTGTTTTATTCCAGCGGCCCTCTTGAACTTTGAAGAAGGCACCGGAGGCACGAAAGACCGAGCAGCGCCAGTCTTCTCGAAAGTGCCGAGGGATTCTGACAGTAAAAAAAAAAAAAAAGAAGAGGAAAATAAAGCATATAGGAAGTGTAGAAAGAGAGGCAGAACGGAGAAATAAACAAATCCGCGAATACCCTTCCCGCACCCTCTTCACACCACCACTATAGACGCACTTGCGTCCTACACGAACTGACCGACTAGCTGGCCACGTTATCTGCTCGACCAGTTTCTCCTGTTAAAGTTCATTTTTTTTATTCTTTAACTATTGTGTTTGAATTTTTTCATTCGCGAAACGTTAAGCAGTTTCCCCCCCCCCCCCACCCACTTGTTCTTCCTTTCCCGGGATATGCCAAACGACCAAGGCTGCCTTTTCTTTCGAGCTCCTTCGTCGTCATGTGAGGGAGAAATGCTTCAGTCAAGGTTGAACGCCTCGACTCGACCCTTAGCGCCCGCCTGGTCTGCCAATAAAGCTCCCACGAAAAAGGAGCGGACTTAGAGGGGGGGGGGGGGGGAGGCGCGAGGTTTGCTTTTGTGCGTACAGGCGCCGTCTAGAACGCACGTCCCAAGCTGCTGCCGCCGCTGCTAAGCGGCACATAAGGTGCTCGCCTCACCGTGTATATAATAATTCAAACACGAAAACACACGTAAGCATGCGCTGCTTCGAGACAAAAGCCGAGGCACGAAGGCAATCAAGGCCGGAGTGTATAGTGTGCTGGTCGTATACAGTCGTCGAACAATCGGAGAGATTAATGGCGCTCGCCTGCGCGTTGTTAATGAGTGCGATAAAGCTGCCAGGTCGAGGGTTCGAGTTCGCGCGTAAGGCCTCATAATGCAGATTTCACTGACAACTCCATCAGTGCAGCGTTCAAGACAGGAACTTCGATTTAAAAAATAATAATAACAGGCCCTATAGCTCGCATGGTTGTCTCGCAGTGCTCTTGAAGCACGCCGCATATGCTCCAGCTGGCCCTCACATAGGTGAATATAATGGCAATGCGCAAAAACAAAAACAAAAGGAACTGGTCAATGAGCGAGGTCTTAAGTGAAACATGACGCCTGTTGCAACGTTATAGAGGAGAATACCCGATGGTTGGCGAAAGCAGACGCGGATAAAGAACCGCAGGCATTGCCTGTATGAAGACATTAACAACCCGTCTCGCCTGTATTCGACGGGCGGATTAATGCAAAACAAGCTCCTCGTGCACTTTGCATTAGCAGTATTGTTCGCGTTGGCCCAGTTCTGCACCTGCGGATGACTTCATATTTCGTGGGATAACGAGAACTCGGTAGATTACCACGTACCAGCACGCTTCAGATAAGGTAGCTCTTATACGGTGTTTTAGTCTAAATCAAAATCCCAGAACGAGTTGAATATCGCGAAGCGAAGTTCGCGAAGCTGCTATACGGGCCGCGTAAGAGAAGGAGCTATACAGTTTTTTTTTCGGGTCATCATAAATGCATAATGGTTCGCACCTATGGACATTGCCTACTGTGCTTAAATATGTGCGTCTTTGTATTTACTGTACTAATACTTTGCTCGTTCACTTCGTTGAAAGACGTGTGTTTGCGCATTCTCGCCAACCCTGCAGGTTGCACGGAACCTAGAAACCTTGAAAACCTTAAAAGAGAAGTTTGAAAAGAAAAGTGAACCCCTCAACCGTCTGCAGCAAAGTGCGACACCTCAGCGGTAGTTCACGAGAGAACAGATAAGGAGGCATTAAAAGAGATAGCGAGAGGAGTAAAGATATTGAGAAAGAAGTAAACGATTGGGAGACGGTAAAGAGAAGTCTGCGGACGTGGCCTCCCCTATCAGCGAGCGGTCGTCGAAGAGAGGACATCGCGGACGGCCGTCAGCCACGAAATCCACCGAGAGTATTGACGATACACTGATAGTCATTATATGATACTCATTATATTGATACTCATTATATGGGCAGGTTACGGCACCACCTGCGCATGACTACCAAGCAGCGACTGGGCCGCAGCCATTTGCAGCGCCTTGTTGGCCACGTCCCCGGGAGTGGATCCGGCTGCCGATGTCCCCTTGTTGGCCAAGACGTCGGCAGAGCAGGGGGCCGCCGGCGCGGGCGATAACCGCGGGGGAAGCGCGCCGCGGCCCGACACGGCCGTGGTCGCGTCGGTCAGGGAGGCACCCGTGCTGCCGCAGCTGGAAGAGGCCGGGCTCAGCGGTGGCGCCGACAGAGCCCCTCCCGGACCGGGCTGCGCCGAGCCGAGGCACGAGACGAGCACGGGTGGACCGCCAGTTCCCGCCGTTGTGCCCGTTCCTCCGGACTGCTGCTGTTGCTGGCTGTTGGCACCAGCGGCGGCCGCTGCCGCAGCCGCCTGATCTTTGGCTCTGGCGACGGCTTCGATGTTCTGTAGGAAAGCTTGCGTGCCTAGCAGAGCTCCCGGAGACATGCTCTCCAAGATTTTGCCTGCATAGAAAAATAAAAAGATTGAGAAATCCGGGTTAGTTGGATATCCATACTATAGTTAGCTGCGTACACTGCAACGGATCATGACATTAATGAAATAGCATTAAGACACGAGTGTCATACCGTGTTGTAATGCTACAATGTCCATATAAGCGAAATGAAGGAATATTGTTTAGGGGCTCACTTTCTTGTTAGACCCAAGCAAATGAATCCAACAGAAAATGTTTCGGGCCTCACTGTCGGCCGGATTAATTTGTTTGTGCCTAAAAAGGTATGTATATAAGGCGATGCACCCACTGACTGAAAACACTACATGTGCAGTTGTGCCATGCTATATAGGGCGCGTGTAACGACACTAAGGTTGGTCCACATAACATTCAACTCCAGCCAGTTTGACCCACTAAGGGCCATTTATGATAGGAAACCACTAGCTTTCATTCCAGGTGGAACGTTAATGTGGCGGAGTGTGGAACACGTTTACTTCTACTTCCCCCAGTCTCTCTCTCTCTCTCTCATTAACATGGCTCTCGTGCAACCACGTTTGTGTGTACCATGATTTGCGAAGTATACTCCCCATAAGCTAGACTTTGCGGGTTTGATTTTCTGCAGCAGCGTCAGCATTCGAATAAGACGCTGATCCGCGCTCGACCGTGTGTGCTTGAAGCTCTTCGCAAACGATTTCACACAGAGTACTCTGCTACCACCACTCTTGCAGTGTAAGCGGTGAGCGTGGAATTCAAACCCAATCTAAAAGTCATGTCGCTTCAGTCTGTCAGTCAGCTTCAGTCATGTCGAGGAATATATACAGCTAAATTTGTCAATAACATAGAAGCCAAATGATTGCTTGGTTGCCTGAAAAAAAAAAAGAATATATGTTCATACATGTCGTTGGTCATTGTATTCAGCAGCCATTGTAGCAGGCATTGTATTCCCAACGCAGGCATCTGTGGAAGGGGCGCGCGAAGAAGTGAAATGAAAATATCACACTGTCAAATTTCGAAAACCAGACGACGACACAGACAACGTGGTATCTCAAGGGCGTTTCTCTTCGGTTTCGCTCGCAAGCACAGCGATGTGAGGGAAATGACTGGTAAGGAATGCGATCAATTAAAGCTGTTCTATCAATAAGGATAAACACCTTTATATACTTTGTTATAGTTAAGCTCATTTTAGTTTTTTTTTATTCGGCTATATGCCGATGCAGCAGACAGAATAGGAATATAAGAAGCAATAGGAATTGTCGCAAGAGATTATGAACTTTTTAAGCTGAGACTAAAAAAAAAAAGAACTTCCCATTCTTTACAAGCCTCTGTCAATACATATCATTGGGAAGAAACAAAAAAATTATCGTTTCTCAGGTCTCCTTATCACTTTTTTTTTCTTTTTTTTCTTTACGGAAAGCGGCGTGAAAAACGTGGGTGTCCCAAATCGAACGACGTCGCTCTGCCCTCGCTAAGAGTGCAGCTGCCTCGCATGCGCACTGCAGGGCATGCTGTTGGGTGTTATTTGTAAAAACGCTCGCCTTCCAACAACAACAAAAAAAGAAATGGAAAAGGAGTAAGCGCATACTTCTCACAGCGGGGCGCTGCAAAAGATTAGGAGCGAACCTATAACGCTTTGTCAACACTTTTAGCAAGCTATATAGGCCGAGTCGTTCCACTCGTGCAGTGTTGATTTACAGTGTCGGCTTTGCGAGCGGCGCATCGAAGCGGCAGACGTGACGACTCTCGAGGATTCACCTACACCGTCTGCGTGTATATAAATACGCACGTGCACACAGATTATCTCAAACAGCAAGTATAGGCTTATTCGCTTTAAAAGAGCAAGGCTCCGGCGCGCAGTTCGGTATAAATGTCTTTTTTTTTTGTTGTTGTTGCCTATCGAGCACGTGTAGGATGTATACTCGGAGAACCGGGCTTTCTGTCTTTATTAAATATATCCGACTGCGCGGAAAGCAGCTCTGTTGGATACCTTCCGAGGGACAAGTTTGTCTTGCGAGCGACACAAGAAATGCCGAAAAAAAGAAGCAGAAGCCAAAAGAGGGACAGGACGCTAAGCAAAGCTCGCACATAGCCGCTGCGCAACGCCGAGACGGTCTTCTTCGTTTTTTTTTTGTTTGTTTTATTCCCCGAAAAGGCGTCGGGCCGAGGTGCTAATTCCGTTTCTTATTCTTGGAGTCCGTCGAGCGGCTTGATTAAACGGAGCAGGTCCAGGCGAATTCAAACAGGCCGCGCGTGTTAATTGCATTTCGCGCGGGAGTCTCGTGACAGGGGCCCCTCGATCCCTCTCCTTCCTCAGAGACGCCCAGGAGATGCATTCAGTGACAAGCCCCAATGATGGATTGAGAGAGTCCTCACGCCGACGGCGCAGAGAAGGAAAGACCGCGTGCTCCGAGCATGCGCACTGTCCCTACAGGTAATAGGATGTTGAAAGAGTGGCGCGAAAACGAAGTTTGTGGGAAGGTTCACGCGTGAAAACTGGGCGATAGGAAGAGGGTGAGAGAGAGAGAAACGAAATACGACGAGCATCTGGAAGCTGTCATACAGCCGACAGTATACTCTCTCCCTGTCTCTCATTTGAAAGTCGTGTTTCTTCGAGTGGTGAGGCAAAAGCAAAAAAAGAAAGAAATCGAATCAGCTTCGGAATCTGCGAACGCCACTCCTTGTTTGAAGTATAGTCGCTTTCTTGCTATTCGGTTGTTTGTCTGGACGTTGGCCGCCTCCACTCTCTGAAGACAAGTGCGATCGAGAGTCATCGCAGAAGCGGAACGAAAACAGAATAAATATTCGCGCATATACAGACGCCATGCAGGATCTGGCGCCCACCCAGTCTTGGCAGGTATTCAGAGGAGGCGTGACCGACTGCTTCGCGCGTTCGATCAAAAAACGCGCGAGGACGAAACGTATAGCAACAGAAACGATCGGAATAAAGGAATGCTCTCGTTTGACTCCCGAATCGGCTCTGGAGGAGGGCGCTCGTTTAATTTCGAGAAGCCGATCCACGCGCTCGATACGAGCTGCTCGCGGATCCTTTTTAATCGCGTGAAGAAATGTGGCCGGTGCGGGCAAGGCATGAAGAGAGGCAGAAAAGAAAAAAAGGACGACGAATGACGTATAGGGAGTTATTAAGTCGGGCAAGAAGGTACGGTTCTGGAATCCGGTATGAGAATCATGCAACAGCTCGTGCTGCTCAGTGGGCGTGGTTGTGACGCTATACAGACGTGAATGACAAAGTGATCGCCCGTTTCTATCTTTGACCATTTCTTCCCTTTCCGTGGTCGGTCCTACGTCAGAAGGAATCGGAGTACACAAGCGTGGTACAGACTACGCTTTTCCTCCTTTAACTGTACACTTCTTCAAAACGATCGAATGTACATCTTATACAATACGGGGTTGATTTGAAGGTTAAGATTATGAAGTTGATAAAGAATCGGACATCCACATAAATATTGTAAGAACGTTTTGAAGACTGCGATCAGTTCTGCGCTATAAGCCGTCACATAGTATAGTACATGCAGTATGCAGTCACGCATGTCTATACGCAATTCCGCAGAGGACGCCGCATGCAGCGAGGTTTATTGAATAAAGTGAACGTTATGTATAGTGTCACCACCTATTCTATAACCGCACTGAAGTACTTGCGAGAGTGATGCAAAAGTCGGTGTCCCTTGTCACAGTCGCGTGGTCATGACGTCACAAAATTTTGGTGATCTGTGAAGTCTTCATGACGTCATCGGGTTACGTAATCACGTTATAATTAGTTTTGCATCCCTCGCGTTGGGCTCTGCGACACCGAAGACTGCCTTTCTGCGGTTGATGAGGGATATATAGGGCTCCCATGAAGCAACAACTGCAGTACTTATGTCCCATGGCACGGGACATTCGACAAAAAACGCGGTGTTGAGTAAAGAGAGAAAAAAGAATGGCACACAAGGCGCGTGGAAGCGAAAGAACAGTGTTTACACTTCCGAAACAGTCCGCAAACAACCACGGTCATAGTGTGGACAGCTCACGCAGGCCGACGACTATAGCACGGCGAAGGGCAAAAGCGGAGGGGGACAGGTGCGAGGCGCGGCAGCATCGGAGGAATGGGCCGGGAAGCGCGAGAGATCGTAAATAAGAGCCTTATCTGGGAAAACGTCTAACGTCTCCGCGAAGTCTCGTTCAGTGGTGAGCACACACATACGTCGCATGCGGGGCCACAGCACGCTTCGCACGCGTACATTAGCACAAGCACGATACATACGAAGGCAGGGGAGACGAGTAAACACACACACACACACACACACACACACACACACACACACACACACACACACACACACACACACACACACACACACACACACACACACACACACACACTTATACGGAGTCAAGTGTACGGACTTATACGGAGTCAAGTGTACGGACTTATACGGAGTCAAGGGTACGGACTTATACGGAGTCGGACTTATACGGAGTCAAGCAAAGTTTCGAGCATATATGCGAAAAAAAAGTCGTTCTACTCAACATGCGATTTATCTCGTACCTAATGGTGCCCCGCGTTGGGAGTTTGTTAGGCCTCCACAGTCTTTCAGTGAAAAGTGACAGAATGACGAAGGACATGTCACGCAGAAACGTGGAGCAGAACTCGTCGGTAGACTATTGAGGGGTAAGCCTGATGTTTATTGCAGCATATGTTCTGATGCTGCGCAACGCTTCTGATGTCCGTGTTCTGAAGTTGCATCAATAGCTACCGTGTACGTGTCGCCGTTGTTTACCGTGTATAGCTGTCGCCATCCCCTTTGCCATCGGCCCTGTTGCGAGGCTCTTGACAGCAAAAAACAATTTCGTATGAGTGTACCATACAGAGCACAAGTACATGGTGTTGTGCATCACACCTATGAGGTTTTTAGTGAGGAGCTTTACCTTGTAGAGGGCGAGGCGAGATTAAGACGGGACAGATGAAATAATTCTTTTTTTTTTTCAAAACTGACTCCACGGAACAGCTACGCATTT